TCTCCAAATACCATTCTCACAGAATGCGCCCATTATTCTTCTTAGTATCTTCCTTTCGAAGACGAGCAGAAGATTTGCGTCTGTTTTGGAGATGGTCCATGTTTCTGACCCATATGTCAGCACTGGTAGGATGAGTGTTCGATATATTATTAGTTTGGTTTTCTGGCTTAAGTTTCTGTTTTTTAGCTGCTTGCTTAGTCCAAAATAACATTTGTTTGCTAGCAGTACCCTCCGTTTAACTTCTTCAGATGTGTCATTACGTTTCATGACGTTTCAATTACCACTTCGAAAATCGTTCTCAAAATACAAAAATTAGTAAATTAAACAAATTTTGTTTTTTGTTACATAGTGAAAAATTCTTCTAATAATTTAATTTTATCTGACTCATTTATATTCACAATTCAAACATACATTATACATTTTAAAGAAGGCGACTTTAAAACGATATTGTCAATAGTGTTGAGTTGCGCTCCTGGGTCGACTTTATTTATAAGATAGTTCATTCGATTACATGAAATTAACTTTAACTTGAGAATATCTGTCAGAAAAAATCATAGCATGATTGTCGTCTTTTAAAAGACATACATATGCCATAATGACAGTAAAATTCTCCTGTTAGTGATTCCATAGTAAATGAAATAGTAAATAAAAAGGGAGAAACCAGGAAAAAACCTTGTAATACTATTCCGACAAGTATTTGGTCGTGCATTTAGTTTACCCTCAATAAACACCAAATTCTGATTTTATATGTTTGTTATTTAAAAAACATAAATGATTGGTCACATTGGACACAATTGGACTCATTTAGCATAATTGGAGCCGCTTCTTTGATTTTTCTTTTTTTACCATCCGTTTCTTTTAGGACTACATTTAAATTATTCCATTAAACTCTATGTTTATTATTCCATGCGTGTTTACTTTACATATTTGAGATCTATCAAATTCACTATTTTTTTAAATATATAATGTATGTCTGAGTTGTCAATATAAATGAGTCAGATAAAATTAAATTATTAGAAGAATTTTTTTACTAAGTAACAAAAAAACAAAATTTGTTTAATTTACTGTTTGTATTTTGAGAACGATTTCCGAAGTGAAAATTGAAACGTCAATAAACGTATTTTTATCTTTAATTGTGGCTTATTCCCATTTAAATAGTAATTAATAGAAAATAACATTGACAAAGATTTTTTAATTATACTTCCGATCATGTGACAGCTGATCGTAATACGAATGATGATCATACGTCAAAACAAGTTTGTTGTTGTAAAAACAACAGTTTTGAAGGTTGTTCCATTTTGAATAGGTCAACTTTCGCTTCTTTTGGTTTAAAGAGGGAGCATTCGCGAGTGAATTATCATGAATGATTTTTTATAGATTTCGTGGTAAAGCAGAATGGTCAAAATAGTCATCAAAATTCGTTTTTACAGTTATTTCTCCATGTGTTACTATATTTCATGGCCTTAATTTTCACTACGGTTGGATCACCAGCTGATCTACCTGGTCTTATCGCGTTATAGATTAAAAGATTTTTCTGAAAATAATCTTTAAAAGACTTATAGTTCAGATAGTAACTTCTATATGGAAATGGTTTACGTCGGGTCTCTTTTGTAATATCAGAATACTGAACAAGAAGAGAAATATCTTGATTTGTTAATTTTGCTTCAATCGTGCTATAAACGGAATCACATCCTATCTGCGTATGTCACTTGGTCAAAAATTTTTGCTCGATAGTAATATTCCATTCTTTACTAAAGTGTAGCAGTGCGTTAGATAAAACTTTTGGTGTAGGTTATACTTAGTAAAGTTAGGTAAATTAAATGTTTGTTTAATAATATCCGCTGGCTTGGGTCTTCTTCTTCTCTTGCCACTCCTAGCGGAGATTGGAAATCATCATGGCCACTGCGACTTTGTTAGCAGCGCGCCTAAAAAGTTTAATCGAACTACACCCGAACCATTCACGTAGATTACGAAGCCACGATATTTTTCTTCTTCCCACACTTCTTTTGCCCTTAATTTTGCCCTGCATGATGTTTCTTAAAAGTTCGTACTTTTCACCTCTCACAATGTGCCCCAAGTATTCCATCTTTCTAGTTTTTATCTCATTTAGAATTTCGCATCTTTTGTCTAAAGTTTGGAGTACTTGCGTGTTAGTGACGCGGTCCATCCATGATATTCTGAGAATGCGCCTATAGCACCACATCTCGAAAGCTTCGATGTTTTTTATGGTCAACTGTTTTAGTGTCCAAGCCTCAACTCCATATAACAGGGTAGAAAAGATATAACACCGCAGCATTCGTATTCGTAACTTTATATTGATATCACGATTGCAAAAGAGCTTGCGCATTCTATTAAAGACTGATCTAGCGATTTCTATTCTACATATAATCTCTTTTGTTTGATCAGTATCGTCTGTGATCCAAGCACCTAGATATTTATAACAGGGCACACGCTCAATCGTTGTATTGTCTATTACAAGATTAGCTCTGATGTTCTTTGATTTCGTGATTACCATAAATTTAGGTTTTTTCAAATTAATTTTCAAGCCGTAACTGTTACAGTATATATTGAGACTTTGAACGAGATGTTGTAGTTCTACTAGCGTTCCCGTTAGGAGAACTGTATCGTCAGCATACCTTATATTGTTGATCGTCTCACCATTTATTATCAGACCAAGATCTTCTTCAACGAGTGCTTGTTCACAGACAGCTTCACTATACAGATTAAATAAAAGTGGCGATAAGATACATCCCTGCCGGACTCCTCGACGGATTTGAATTTCTTCTGTTAGTCTGCCCTCAACCTTGACATTTGCTGTTTGATTCCAATATAGATTGTATATAATTCGAATATCTCGGCTGTCTATATTTTTCTTTATTAGAACTTGTCTTAGTGGTTCATGTTGTACTTTGTCAAAGGCCTTTTCGAAATCAATAAAGCAGGCGTAAATTTCTTGGTTCATGTCTAAGCATCTCTGTGAGAGAACGTTAATTGCAAACAGAGCCTCCCTTGTACCCAGCCCTTTTCTGAATCCCATCTGAGTGTTACTGATGTCTACGTCTAATTTCCTATAGATCCTATTATGGATTATTTTTAAGAACAGTTTTAGAGTATGACTCATCAAAGCTATCGTACGATATTCGTTGCATTCCTTTGTATTTGCCTTTTTTGGCAGTAGTATAAAGGTCGAACGGAGCCATTTCCTAGGTATTATTCCAGTTCTATATATTGTGTTAAATAGATCTAGGAGTATTTTAATAGAGTCATCGTCCATGAATCTTTTTTCGTGAATCGTCCATGAAATCGTTACCACTTTTTGCTTGTTTGATTGCATATTCTATTTCTTCTCTGATTATATCAGGCCCTGTATCATCTGTATATTCGTTTAAGATTTCTTGTCTATCTTTGTCATCAAACAGTTGTGATATGTATTCTGTCCATCGATTCATTTTTTGTTATAAATCTGTTATAATTATACCATCTGTATCTTTGATCTGTCCTGTCTGTGTTGTTCTTCTCCTTCCTGTTATTTCTTTAATCTTTTTGTGTACATTAAAAAAGTCATATTTTCGCACCAATTGCTCCAACTCCTGGCATTGCTCACTTAGCCATCTTTCTCTAGCTTGGGTAATCCGAGCTAATTTAGTGGCTTGAAAAACTTGCGTAAACACACGTGCTTCGCCTTTTAAGGCTCTTTTTTGTCTTGTCCTTTTTCAATTCGTGCTCTTTCTTTATTTTGTACATGTATATTAAACTTAGCTTTAGACTCCACTTTTATGAGAACAACATAAATCGCACTGATCTTTTCTCGGATTAAACAGTGACAAATTCTCTTTAAGAGTAAATTTTTTGACTTTTTTCAAATTTTCTTGTGGCAATCTTTCGAGATAAAGACTCTACAGTTGCGAAAGTAATGTTACGATAACCTCTAAATACTTCCTTGTTGTTGTTTGTCTGCAATAATGGGACGGCATCTTTTCTAGAGAATTGAAAAAACTTAACGAAATCTTTGTCCTTTGTCTGCCGCTTTGCAGCAGTCTCTGTAGATTTTGAGTAAGTAACATTAGCAACAAGAGTAATACCATCACTATTTTCTTAGTAAGTCAAGCTAGCAGCGACAGTCCATTTTTTAATATCAAATGTATTTAAAGTAAGTTTTACAACAAACTTGTCTTCTAGTTCCATTAATAACTATGAAATATTGTAGTGATGAGTGACGTCTAGAATTATCAGCTTGGCTTCTTCTTCGTTTTATAGTGTGTTTTTCAACTGTATTCACAATAACTGTTTTTAATTGAGCCCATGTCATGATTTTACAAAACTGACTAAAAAGTTCTTGCCTCTTCTGCTCGGTAATTTCATTACAAGCTCTAACCTTCGATTTTCGGCACATATCAAAAGAAAACGGTGATCCCATTTTTCGTTGATCTCTCCAATATTTTGATATAGTTTTCCCTCTTTGGTTCTTCGATACCCTAAATACGCTTCCCCTTGCACCCTGAAACTTTTGTTTTTAGGTTTTTTCCATTCCTTTTTCCTTCAAAAATAACTGCTTTTAGATTTGGATTTAGATCCAAAGCTTAACGAAATAATTGTAATACTAGATCTAAATTACTACGTGATATAGCATTTTATCGATTTGCTACCGACAGACCAAAAATCCTACAACCGCGAAGATTGCTTGAGTTTTTGAAATGTACTTAAATTAATTTTTTTAACTTTTTACATTTTACCATTTTACTTTATTTACTTACTCTATTATACCGAATAGTACATGTCAAGCGAAAAGTGTAATTTTGCCAACCCTAACAATAGTTTTAGATTTCCATAAAGTTTCTATATCTTCATTATTTTTCTATTAATAGTTAATCTTTCTATGTTTACTGCATTAACCAAAGCAGTCATAGATATAAGAAGTGGATTTAAGAAATTAGGCACTGACCAAACTCCAGCTAATATAAGATTACAAAGGCATCATTATAGTAAAATATTACACATACCATGATTGTCAAAATCGCTATCAAACTTTCCACAATCTATATTTCTGATATGTCCCAGTCCTCTTTCAGACAATGCAAAGACAACTTCGGCAGTTAAGTTTGGATCAGTAAATGCTCCATCTGGATCTTGTTTAGATTCTACGTAAGTTTTGGCAGCAGTACGGTTCCAGTGGTTGTTTATTTCGTTCATATCTTGTAGAGCCTAAAAATTAATAGTAGTTAATGGGGCTACAATCATAAATGATGGGGACTTACTTGGAGGGTAAGAGCAGTATTATACAAATTTCCGAAACCTCCGTCTTGCTGCTGCTGTCGGGCTAAGCTTATACTAGGCCTTCTAAGGGAATGCTGTAAATTCCTATGCCTATGATCTTTAACTATGCATCTTAAAGCTAAAATTGTCATTGCGACTGTATCTAAAAACCAAGAAAGTAATGTTTTACTTAATAAATATTCCAATTGAAGGGTATTGATGCAAAAGTCACATTCTCCACTTTTTAAAATTTTGGAGGAAATAAAAAAAAGGTCTACACACAATATTATAAAGTCAACTATAACGAATTTCTTGTTTATGTTTAGAAAATAACTTAATAGTGGATTTTATAAAGATGTGGTAGGAAATACACCGCTGAATAAACAAAAAAAACTTAATAATTTGGATGATGTTACTTTTAGTACTAAAATTTGGAAACTGTTTTGAAACCCAGCTTATTGGAAATGTTCAGATAAAAAAATTGCATAATACTTTACGAACATAATTTAGGTTATAAAAAAATTTAGTTTTTTTTTGAAAAACTGATTTTTGCTCAAATTTTTCTTTAAAATATAAAACTTGCCAACAAAAAATTAAATTTGGAAAATAAGTATCTCATTAACAGCAAAGCACACTTCATCTTCATGAATTGCATTTTCTGAATCGACTAATGCATACATGTAAAAATGTAGTTCTTTAAAATTTCTCCACTCATGTCCATAATATTTCTTTAACCTAGGAATTTACGTCGTCTTTCTTACTTTTATTTCTTTCTCTTTCTCAGTTTTATGTTTAAGACAAGGAGGTTATAGTCTGAGGGAACATCTGCTCCAGGAAAAGTCTTAACGCTTACAAAGGAATTTCTAAATTTTAGATTGGTTAGAATAAAGTCGATCTGATTTTTAATGCAATTATCCTGTGGTGACCTCCAGGTATACAGTCTACGGGGTGGTAATCGAAACCATGTTTTCATAATCGCCAAGTTTTTTTCTTGACAAAATTGAGCCAATTTGTCGCCTCTAATATTCCTCATTCCTAAATCATAAGCACCTATTATATTGTCGACTTGGCCTTTTCCTATCTTTGCATTTAAATCACCCATTATTATAATAATGTCTTTCTTTATTGTGTATTCTAGAAGTTGTTTGAGTTGTTCATAAAAATGTTCTATTTCAGCTTCTGATTTATCTGCATTTATGCTACATTAATGTTCACTAGCTTACTCTGTATTTGTAATAATATTATTCTATCCGAAAAGGGAACCATTTCCATAATAACTGAGTTATTTGCTATTTGCCTCTATCCCGGAGTACGGTCTTGCTGATGTTACCGACTTTTAAAGTACCTTATTTACTATTTTGAGTTACACTGTATCTGTAATAATATTCTTTAACTTACCTATGTTATGATCCTTGGCAGTATTCGCTATATCCAATAATCTCCGAATCTGCTTCTTCCTAACATGAGCTCTAGCTGTACAGGCGGCTAAAGTTGCATACGCAAACTCTATGTCATGGATAGGCTCATGATGCTGGAGGCTGCCAATAAGATCATGGCCATGGAATTGCCTGGGATCATAGCACATTGCACATAGAGCTAGGCAGTATTGAGCTAATTTTGGAGGAGTTATTGGAACCTCATGATGTCTAAAACAAATATATATGTATACAATAAATCTACTGACCTTTAGCACATTAATAAAATTCATGAAATATTACAATAATTTCGTTTTTGTTAATCATGCGTAAAAAATCTGTTAGAAATGTTAATTACATGTAATTTCTAACTTAGTTTTTAAAATGATTTTATTTTTAAATAAATACGTGTATTTTTTTACAGGTATTTTTTATACTACTATTTTCAAGAAGTAGAATTTTCAAGGAGAATAAAGAGTCAAAGGAAACAACTGGAAAACTTACATTTTCCAGTTCAAGAAAAAACTTTGTTAAGAAATCAACAATTACGAATCTGCTGAATATTAAATTAGGGACATTCGCCGAATAATATATGATTTTCATAAAACAGAAAAGTGTCGTGTTACTATTAAACGGGTTAATATTAAAATTATGAAAATGTTCTTCTTCTTTTTCTTCTTCTTTTTCGTCGAGCCATTCACGTCCACATCTGAACATAAGCCTTTTCAAGTATTCCTTTAGATTGTTTTTTATTGTACGCTACTTGTAGCCAATTTTTCCCGGCAGTCCCTTTCAGATCATATGTCCATCTCATAGGAGGTCTGCCTCTGGGTCTTTTGTGTTGGTATGGTCTCCAGGTTAAAATTGATCTGTGCCATTTGTTTAGATCGCTTCTAGCTACATGTCCAGCGTATTCCCATTTCAACTTTAATGATTTTTGTACCACATCGGTGACTTTGAAAATGAAAGTGACGGTGACTTTTGCACCACATCGGTGAAAGAATGAAAATAAGAACTTTAAGAGTAAAGTATTTAGGACAGATAAAATATTTCTTATATAGACCAATCGTTTATTAATATAAAACATATACATAGCGGACATACTTCCTCGAAAAATTGGACAGACGATTCCACAAATTTTTACGGCATGAACGGCATGTGAAATGCAATCTTAGATTTCCTTGCCGAGTAATTTATCAAGCTGTTTGCTTTGCAAGTTTTAGAAAGCACAGTGGTCAAGATTTAAATTCGATTTCGCCAGGTAGAAATCGGTTTATTTTTCTTTTTGTTATTAGATGGCGTAGTTACGTCCGTATATAGTTATTTTATAACTATTGTCTAAGACGGGAATAGATTTTGTTTCTATTCAGAATGAAGAGAGAGTTCCAATCAACAGAAGAAGTAGAAGAAAAAATCGAAGAAATCACAAGAAGAATTCAACGTGCAATGGAAGCCAACATTCCAAAATCCATGACGAACAACAGAGGACTGGTCATCCCAACAGAACTACAGAACATCATCAAGGACAGAAACAAGGTCAGAAGAGCATTCCAAAGGACTAGAAGACAGGAATTCAAGGACTACGGAGACATCCTATCTGAAGAAATAAGAGTAAGACTGAGAAGTCTTACTGAAAACCAATGGCACAACAACATCAGAAGAGCTGAAGAAAACCATGGAAACGTTTGGAAAATGCTGAAGGCAAGAAGAAGAGGGAAACAAAAGATGCCACAAATCATGGACAATAAGGGAACATACTACGACACCCAAGGAAAAGTAGATGCAATATCAAGAAAGATGGCAGCCACACACAGAAAAAACCAGGATATGTCGGATGCAAAACAAGAAGGCAAGTCGAACAAGAATACAACAGGATCAGAAAAGTTCCAAATAGACGAGGAAGACCACACCAGCTCAAGCAAAGCTGCGAAAATCATCAGGAAGCTGAAAGGAAGCAGAGCACCAGGACAAGAAGGAATCCACAACATCACCCTCAAGGAACTTCCGAAGAAGATCATAGTACAGCTGTACTATATCTTCAAATACTGCCTGGAAAAAGGACATTTTCCGAACAACTAAAAACACGCCAAGATCATACCTCTTCTGAAGCCAAGGAAAGATGGAAAAAGACCAGAAAGCGACAGACCCATATCACTCCTGGAATCAATGGGAAAAATTTTGGAAAAAATCATCTACAAGAGACTGGTAAAGTACACAGAAAGAAGAAGAATTATCCAAGAAGACCATTTCGGATTCAGAAAAGAAAGAAAGTGCGAACTTCAACTAGCAAGGATAATCAGCGACGCGAAGATACAATTCAACAGGAAACAGAAGACAGGATTAGCCATAGTGGACATAGAAAAAGCATACGACACGGTTTGGAAAAAGGCACTAATCTACAAGATGGACAAGGCTAGCCGCACTATTTAATAAGTATTTGTGATATTTATTTATCTAATAGAACTTTTCAAGTTTCAGCTGACCAAAAGATGTCAACGATCCAAGAAATGCCTCAGGGCAGCATTTTATCACCTATATTACATAACATTTTTGTTTCAGACCTTCCAACAGATCTAAGGACTTCTACAGCCCTGTATGCAGACGACACAGCAGTGTATGCATCCGGAAAAGACGAAAGAAGAATCATAGATGACATGGAGTCCCATCTGGAAAAAATTTTGGACTTCACGGAAAAATGGAATATCAAAATCAACGTACAAAAGACGCAGTTTATCATATTCACCCAGAAAAAACGACCACCACAGAACGATATCACAGTAGGAGGCAACAGAATTCAGGAATCAGAGACGGTCAAATACTTAGGTGTTCACCTCGACAGAAGATTCAACTTCCGGGTGCATACACAAAAAACAAAGGTAAAAGCAAATGCAGCTAAAAAACTAATACTTCCTTTCATTTTTAGGTCCAGTTCACTGTCAAAAGCGAAGAAGATACAACTCTACCAAGCATATGTTAGGTCGGTGATTCTGTATGCTGTACCAGTCTGGAGCTCCATCGCAGAATCACACTGGAGAAAGTTAAAAGCAACTAAAACATCATGCTACCGAATCATCGACGGAGTAGCATGGGAGGATAGAGTTACCAACGCGACGATCAAGAATAGACTAGGGTACATGCCACTGAGGTGGCCGAGAATAGAACCAGGTGGTTCTTCAACCAGGCAACACGAAGACTACGTAAGGGACATCTTCTAAAAGAACAGGATCCAGAGGATATTTAGATCCACCCATAGACTGATCGACCACCTGATCAGGGTCTAGAAAACCAGGCATGCACTGATGTAGGTAGGTTTGACGATACAAGTACCTACAGAAGCAGACGAGGACATCACCCAAGAAAATCCAGGAGCCGAAAGGAAGAAGAATCAAATGCTGGCGGTGCAAAAGCGGTACGCAGAAGAATAAAGAAGGCAAAAATTTTTATTTTGACATGTACATATTTGTTTAGGGCAGTAAATGTTTTTATTTTTATTTTTTATTTTTATTTTTATTTCGATTCAGAGAGGTGGCTATACCGCTCTGAATAGATCTTAAGAGGTCTTTATATAATATCAATTCTATCTAGAGTAATTATTGTTTAGTAATTAAACTTGAGAAGTCGCTGGTTTAAATTATTTATTCAATATAATTTAAACCAGCGACTTCTCAAGTTTAATTACTAAACATTTAGTATGATTTGGTTCGCCAAGAATTCTGACCAGAATGTACGAAATTAAGAACCAATTCAGCCCCTATGGGAACCACTTAGAAATCATTTTCAATTATGTTCCATAAGGGCGAGTCTCTAAGACTCATTCTATATTTTATTCATATCTTTCGCTGCTTCTATGTATACAAACATAGATATGTACTACAAAGGTTCTGGAAAGCAGAAAACAGTAATCACCTGTTAGTTTTGTCCCAACACGACCCAGCTCGTGAAGGATATTTCTAAGTGGTTGATTTTCTTAGTAGGCACCTGTTAGTTTTGTCCCAACACGACCCAGCTCGTGAAGGATATTTCTAAGTTGTGGATTTTCTGAAAGTTAACAAGCCTATTTTCTGTTATTCCACGTTTTTACGCACCTGTTAGTTTTATCCCAACACGACCAAGCTCGTGAAGGATATTTCTTGGAAGGAAGTTGTGGATTTTCTCAGTAGGCACCGGTTAGTTTTGTCCCAACACGACCCAGCTCGTTAAGGATATTTCTAAGTGGTTGATTTTCTTAGTAGGCACCTGTTAGTTTTGTCCCAACACGACCCAGCTCGTGAAGGATATCTCTAAGTTGTGGATTTTCTGAAAGTTAACAAGCCTATTTTCTGTTATTCCACCGTTTTTACAACACAATGCTCTTTATTTATCTTTTTCTCTTGTTTATATTCGCTACTTATTCGTTATTCTTATGCATATCTTCGTTTAATATGCTAAAGAATCGCTTCAGGAAATTCCTGAATCTCAAAGAAACATATGTTGCATTCATGGAGGATTTTATTGCTTCTCAACATATGATGCCGGTTCCTAAATCCGATTTTAAATCGACTATTTCTTTTAACTTTCACACCATTCTTCAAAAAACTCTCGTCCTGTACGAAAGCAAGCGCCAAGTAGATCACCACAGCAGTGTATCTCACGCCAACCCCAGCCGGGCCCAACCATAGACAAAAAGGTAAGTGAATCTCATATAGAATTGACAATAAGATATAAAATCTGCCAATTGTTATTTGAATTCATTTTATTTTACATATATTTGCTACAAATATTCGCTATTTTCGCTAATCTTATACACAATCTAATATTGCATTTTTTCGTTATAATTATTTATTCAATATAATTTAAACCAGCGACTTCTCAAGTTTAATCACTAAACAATTATAAATAAAATTATAAAGCAAAAAAGAAAAAAAATGTTGAATATCCCTGTCGTACTTATTTTGCAGTTAGTGAGTTTTACCTCTATATAGACGATATATTATATCTTTGATTTTAAGAATCTGTCACTAATAGTAGCATAGACGACAATAATACTAATACGAACCCATAATTACATTTCTTACTCCTTCACCGATTGCTGATCATTTCTTTTCTCAAGGTTTAAAGCAAACTTTGTCGTAATTTAAGTTGTCGATAGTTTCAACACTAAATCAATAACAACATTACCTCCACAACAACACGACAATCTCCACCTCCATCTGCTTGAGGGACAATTGCATCTCCAGAGGATCGGCGGTCTGCCTCGGAGACTCCTCTCTGGGGGCGAGTTGGAGGGCCGTCAATACTTTGGGGGTGTCGTTTCGCCATCCCCAGTCACTTTCCCGCTGTGTTACCAGCCACGACAGCGCCTTCAGGACTCGAGACGTTTCGAGCCCTTTGTCCTTCTCCTGGGGATCGGACGTTGTGGTGGTCGAACGCAGAGATTCTGTGGTTTCTGCAACAGAGAGAAAAATTATTTGGAGTTGCCGTGGGGCTTCATCGAAATGTATAACGTTTCAACTTTTTGTAATAGCTGCGTTAAAATTAGAAAGGAGGAAAAAATACAATTATATATAGAAAACTGGTATTTTTACATAAATCACTTTATTGGAATTACTCTTTTTATATATTAATACAAAGTTTATTACGAACACATTGAAGTGTCGGACCTTTTTATTTACAAACAGTCTTATGAATAGTAAATACGATATGCAAATGAAATATCAGTATACCAAAGCCATATATTTAGATAGCGTTTATAATGTTAATTGAAGATAAGAAACTTTTTAGATTTGGTATATTGCACTGTAGACCTAAAATATCACCTAGTTTGTTGGGTATATTGTGCAACAAGCACTTTGGCGTTAATGCTGGACATTTCCCTAATAAACAGTAGTCTTTCTTTCTAACGATTTCCTTTATAACCCTAATTCCTGTATAACAATGAAAATAGTAAACGTTGGTCGGTTCGTCATAACACAGTATAAAGAGGTTCCACAGTAGAACCACTCTCTGAAAAATTGGAAGTAAAGTCTGTCAACGCGCAGAGCGACTGCGCTTATTTCTTAGTCGCTCGAGAACCATTCTTCCGTTGCTAGTCGCGTAGAAACGTACGGGTTAACAGTGCCGTATTTTGCTTAAACTGAGTTAGTTTTGTGAATAATTGTTAGTATTGTGAAGTTGAACATGAGTAAAATTCGAAGTGGTATTAATAATCTTAAACTTCCAAATTTGTTAAATATATCTGCCGATAGACCATATTTTTGTCATGAAAATAATAAAATTGTGTTTTCTTTTGATACACCTCATTTATTAAGAGCACTTCATAATAACTTCCTAAGAAACAAATTTGTTATTGATGATATTATCGTTTCTTGGGAATATATTAAAAAATTTTACGAACATGATAAACAATATCCTATACGTACAGCGCCAAAATTGACCGAATTACATATATCTCCTAACAATTTTGAAAATATGAAAGTGAAATATGCTTCTCAGATATTTAGTAACACTGTTGCTGCCGGTCTGCATCTGTATATTAGATTTACTGCATTCGTCGAGGAAGCAACAACAACCGAAAGATTTATTAGGAACATTAATAATTTATTTGATATGCTCAATTCTTCTTCATTAAGAGGAGCAACTGAGTACCAAAGACCGTATAGAGGAACCGATGCTTAGCAAGAATTTCCGATTGTTTAATAATTTACAGGTAATTAATTTTAAAGCTAAAAATGTAACACCAAGAATAAAATATGTTAATGGTTGGAAAATAACCATTAATGGAGTGATTTATTTGTGGAATCTACTACAGTCACTTGGAATGGATATTATTTTTTAACAAGGCGGATGAATCAAGATTGGCTAGAAACCTTTTTTGGTTCAATCAGGCAGCAAGGTGGCAATTGTGTTAACCCTACTCCGGTATAATTTACCGCAGCATTCAAAAAATATTTTTGTTTAGACATGATGCATTCCGGTACAGAAAATTGCTAAAGAGATGCAGGCCATATTTTGTCAAATTTAACCTATATATGTACCGACGATTATCTGCCTGAAACCACTGCTTTGGCTCCTGAAAACTCTTTGGATGACCAAAAATATCAAACTTCAAATAAATTACAGAAAAACTTCACAAGATATATATGTATATGTGATATATATATATATATATATATATATATATATATATATATATATATATTCATAAGTCTTAGGAAACATGTTTGTCTAATCTGTGAAGCATATGGGAGAGAGTACGATGAACTACACGATTCGTCTCTGTTTTGTTACGTTAAAGCCTACAGTGGTAATGAAACAAACGTTTTTGGCAAGCTCTATATGCCGAGCCAAAATTTTGTGCAGTATGTTACAGATTTGGAAATTATTTTTCAAGAGAATTTTCAAAATTTTAGTCATTAACCGAAAATCTTACAAAACTACGTTAGCTTATTCGAAAAAATACCATATACGCATCCTTGCAGCAATTTTCCAAAGGGCTATCTCATTAGATTATAGGCCAGAATAAGAATATATTACACATTAAAAATAATTAATAGAAATTTTAAAGTATCTAAGACAAAAGAACATAGGAAATAAATAATTTGGAAACATAATTTTCAATTTCTAGCTAACAAAATATTGTGTAAAATTTAATAACGAAACTTTTAACTACCTATAATTTTTTCTCTAGGATCAATATTTTTCGAATTATAAATGAAAATAGGAGCAAAAAAATGAGAAATTTTCAATTGTTTTCAGATTTTGTTAAATAAAAAATTTAGCACAGGGTTTGCGACTGGCGCATATCGTGATTATCGATACTGGGCATATCCTGAAGGGATTCCAGCAAAAAAATAGCTTCCTTCGAAAATTTCCATTATGGTCTGAATTTCTACAGATGCCGCCTAGTCTACTAGGACACAATTTAACTTGAAAAAAATAATTTTATTACCGTTTCGATTTCCAATTCGGACGTCGTTGTCAAAATACAAAATAATAATTTATTTTTGTATTTTGACAACGACTTCTGACTTGGAAGACGAAACGTTAATAAAATTATTTTTTCAAGTTAAATTGTAGCTTATTTCCGAATTAGAATAGTTGATATTCGTTTATTTTATTAAAAAATTGTTGAAATTGTTAAAAATAAGAAAGACGAAGAGAATTTTTTTTATTTAAATTTGTGGCTAAAAATCACCACAAAACATCTTTTCAGCAGTTTGAATTTTAATTGATGTATTCTTGTACATTACGCGATTGATTTGACGAAAAGACTATTGCAAAATTTAATTAATTTTTTGCAGACTACAACTAAAACTAAACGAATAATGCAGTAAACACAAAAAATCGCCGATATAACCAAATTCACCTACGAAATGTAAATAAGGACAAAATTTCATAAATGTCAAAATTTCATAACAGTGGAGTAAACTTGCCTGCCGTTGGACGAATTATAAACAAGCGTTATGACGCGGTAAACTTGAATTACTCCTCCTGGTTTAAAAACAGAGTACAGTAATGCCGATGCCGTGAGAGCTTCAAAATTAACCTCTTTTTTATTTAACGTTTATATGACATGTACAATATATTAAAAACCATTGAGATTTTAAAACTTGCGCAATACCGTTGATATTTAAAATACCGTTGAAAAATATAAACATTGAATTATAATATTGTTTTTAATTTATTAAACCCTTTATTTTTGTAATATTAACATTTAGTGAGAACATCTGGACAGTTAAATATGGGAAGCCGCATTTTTTATTTAAATAAATGAATAGTAGTAGGCTCAGAAAATTTTAATACGGCTCTGTAAGGTTAAATGTGGTGGATTACCAATTTCGTACTTTGCCGGTATTACTTCCTGAGATCAAAGTGCCGACAGACGAGTAGTTTTACTGTGGAACCTCGTTATACTGTGGTCATAAGGAAAATGTATTAATTCTTTCTCTATACCGATATCGTCCTCTCTTTATAGCGATGACTTTTCAGTGCCCAATAGTCGATGACAATAGTTCAGACTACCTAAGTCACAAGTGGCAAGGTCATTGGCTAGCGGTTGCTTAGTTTTTGCGCTTAAGGAATGCGGTCACCCATTCTACTCATTCTTATTAGAGGGTTAAGTGACTGGCTTTTATTGTTCGGACGGCGTGCCTAACTGTTTTTACACAGATGTTGTCATCTATTGACGACTTTTCATTTCCAGTTTGAGTTGAGTCTCAGTATATCAACAGTCAAAATGTTTTCGAAAAAGCTATCGATATCTCAAGCAATAGAGAATGGTGAAAAGCAATCGGATGTCGTTCGCCTTACGTGGCTGCCTCAGTCAGCTGAGGCTACCATATGGAAGCCGAAAAGTGGATTGAAGCGAAGATGGAGGACGGTAGCAGGAAGAAGTTGCGAAAGCCTCAGCACGAAGATTTAGATGGCGCTGTGCTTCAGTGGTTCCAGCAACAGCGTATTAACCATATTCAACTTTCTGGGCCTGTGGTCATGACAAAAGCTGAGTTTTTTTGCAACTGAGCTTGGAATTGAGAATTTCAAGGCATCTCAGGATTGGCGGAGCAAGTGGAAGTTGCAGCATAAGATCAACTACGGGAAAATCAGCGGAGAGGCTCGTGATGTTAACAAAAACATAACGGATGATTGGCTAGAAAACGTGTGGCCTGGACTGAAGGCACGGTATGCGTTAGATGATATTATTAATGCTGATGAGATTGGATTGTTTTTTAAAATGACACCAAACAGAACTTTACAATTTAAATCAGAAACATGCATTGGTGGAATGTTTTATAAGTAACACATTACGGTTTTAGCAGTTGCTAACATGACAGGTTCGGTGAAACGAAAATTGTTAATGATAGGAAAGTCGAAAAACCCACGTTACTTTTAAAAACAAAAAAAATCTTCCGGTGACCTATAAAGCAAACAAGAGTGCGTGGATAATGGAAATTTTTAAAGAATCGATAAGAAAGTGGGATACCGAGCTTAAAGGGAAAAAAAACTCTTCTGCTTGTATACAATTGTCCTGCTCATCCTGTACTGTGCGACCTTCAAAACATTGAATTTTGTTTTCTGCCAGCAAACACAAGAATGTCCTTTAGCCCATAGACCAAAGTGTCATCAAGAGTTTGAAAAGCCATTACAGGAGAAGACTTTTAATGCAATAGGACGCCATCCTAATGATTAGTAAATATTGAGACGAGTTGACGCGCAACTATAAAATATTCCTTAAAACACGCAGGATGGCTGGAAGATCAATGATTGACTAATGATGAAGATGGCCTGCCAACAAATGTTTGGGCTAGACAGTTTAAACTTACTATCATCTACGGACCTAAAGAGCTAACAGATTTTGAAGAAGTTGATGAATACGTAATTACAACATTTGAACTTTCTGAGGAGGAGTTCATGTAGAAGAAGAAGAAAACAGTGACCCGGAAGTGGAGG